AGTGGGGAAATCCAATTACCTTTAAGGAAGGAATATTATCTCTTATAAATTCTTGCACAAGAACGTTCTTCTATTTTGTCGTTGTTTGAATAAGATCACGTTCAAAATTATAAAGATACGTTTTTTTTTTTTTTTTTCGTTGGAAAAATAAGTCGATTAATTAATGGCATAAATGCTTGTTTGTTATTCCATTTTATCAGCGTATTAGAAATTTATCAATGCGAATATAATATGTATGACATTGTGAATTTGATAATTTAGAGTGACATAAAAAATATTAAGGAAAGGTTAGCGAAATTATCTATATCTATAAATATATTAGTAAACATATTTCGATTAAAAATTGTTGATGCATATGCGTGAAATTATCGTGTTTTTCTTTTTTTTTTTTATAATTCAAATCTTTAAGATTTTGAACAAAAAAGAAGAGAAAATATTTCGATAGTAAACTCTTCTAAAACACGATTAATTAGTATCGAAATTTAGAATTAGAATACAAATTAATATGAATATAATAAAAAATCGGATATATCGAGGAAAATTTGATGGAAATATCCGTTCTACGCGAAGATTGTCCAAAATTATCAACAATGTTTATTAAACAAAAATATCGTGTTATAGATTATCGTAATTTTTATATTCAAGTATTTACTTTCATCTATTTCTCATTCTTTAATTTATACATCCATTCTTTGGATATCTTTATATAGATTTATGCTTGGAAATGTAAAAAATTATAAAACAAAAATTATATAGAGAAATATCCAATTGCAGATACAGAAGGTTAAATAACGATGATCATTTTGATCTTTTGAATCGATTTTATTTAGTCATAAATTTATAAAAAAATTCTTTTCATTAAAAACTTCCAAAATAAAATTAAGTTTAAAATAAAAGTTCGAGTTTGAAAATAAACAAAATGCATAGAATAAATTTTTCTTTTTCATTTAAAAATTAATATTCAATTTTATTTCCCAAAAACAATTACTCTACATTTCTTCCCCAAATGAATCATCGATCCGATCGAGAATTCAGCCAATTTTACTTTTATTTTCAAACTTGATTCACTCGAAAACGAACAAATATATATCATTATTCCTGTTTGTGACCAACATGATACGCTCTGTACATCTTTCCTGCTAACAAAACAAACTCGAAACTTTCGTTCTTCTCGAACAGGAATTAATATTAACAAAAAGGAAGAATTTATTTAAACCTCTGACATCAGAGATAATGGGAATAAGTTTTCCCATTCCCTCATTCTATCGGAGTATAAACCAGTTCTCATAGTGGAGTTCAAGTTGATCTCCAGATAATTGTCTCGCGCGAATCTGTCCCACGTGACGCCTCCAAACGCTTCGTTATCATTTGGAACGAAAGGTTCGCCATTTTTCGCGAAGCTCGCCCACACAGACGTGTACAATTCAACCATCCGGGTTTCGGGCGCGAATTCATCGAAATATGGAAAGATCTTCTCCATGTAAAACAAATATTGCAAATCGTCTTGATGCTCCACGCCTGAAAATGAAGATTAAGAAACTCAAGATTAAAAGATTAAAGGATGAAGTTGAAAGAAAAATCTAAGAAAATCGTGTGAGCTAAGCGAGGCACATTACCGTAAGGAGTCGTAGAATTCCACTTGGAGAAGCTGAAACGTCCTTGATAGGAAAACATGTAGAAATACACGGGGGCTTGAGAGTTCTCAGTTATCAATTTTGCCCCGCGATATTGAGGAAATTTAATTATACTGTCTTCGTAGATCTGAAAATCGATAACGTTAATGATTAACGTCAATTCGTGGTTAGATTATTATTATTATTATTATTAATTCATTCATTTACATGCGCGAGACCGTCTTTTCGAGCGGAATCGATTGGCCCCCCTTCGAAGTAAAATTTTCGCAATTCCTTGCTGATGAGTCGCGATCGTGATGTGTTTCGCTCGTAAATGAAACTAATCGGTGCAATTCGATACCAATTCTCGCTCATATCGCGATACATATCGTTCCTCGTCCTTGTGCTATTCTCAAACGCTGGAAAAAACAAATACTACAGATTGTAAACAAATTTTTTTTCTTGCTTAATTTGCATTAACCACTTTGCACTCCACGTGTTTTTCAAACACAAATTAACGTTTAAAACTTTTATATTCTAATATTTTGTGTGTTTGTTTACACGTGAAGAAAGAAAATTTGTTGAATATTAAAGTCTATATCGTTGTTTCGCGCGATATTTTAATAATAACGTAAAGTATCGTCGTCGATAAAATGTCGTTTAATCCCAATAACGTGTTCTCACATTCACTGTCTATTATTCTTATATTTCTATATTATTATTCTATATTCTTCTTATATTACATCTTTCTATCTATCGTCAATTTTTTAATGAATAGAAATAATTTTGATATTCAGTAACGAAAAATCAAACTCATCTTCGCTCAAACTAATTTTATTACCGTATTCCATCCTAATAAAACTCAAAAATTTTATATTAATAATATTTCTATAAATAAATATGAAAATAATAATAACATAAATAATATAAATAATATAATAAATAAATATAAATAATAATATAAATTTGAAAATAATATTCCCACGACTGTCAAATTCGGACTAACGCCAAAAATGTAATTCGATCCGCGACCACGGTCTAATTTAAGAGATAAATTAGATAATTTAAGAGATAAGAAAATCTAACCTTCGACACACTGTATTATAAGATTATACGTAAAGAGCTTAGGAATCTATTAGTGAAAAATATTTTAAAAAAATCAAACGTAAATAAATATTATCGTTCGAAATCGTTGCATCGATTCAAGTAGTACCAAATGGAGTTACCATTCGAGCGCAAAGAGTTAAAATCGAATTAAAGAATCGCTCCATCTACCGACAACCACTCCTCCAAATTCGTCCCTCGTTATCCCAAATATGACTGGAACTTTGTGAAACTTTCCCCGTCTTATGAGTTTAACCGGTTGATCCGGTAGAAATCTTTCCAGCCCCGGAACCTTCGGTTCCACGACAGGCTTCCAGATCAGAATTGGATCTCTGTGCCATTCCTGAAACGACAGACAGAAACATTTTTTTTCTCTATTTCGAAATTGAATCAAAGGACAACGAGTAGATTTTTATTACAAGATTCGTAAACTAACGAAAAATTCGATCATGGTGTCGGTAAAGTTGGCAACGGGCCTCGATCTCAGACAGACCAGCATATCTTCAGAGTTGTCATCTGGACAGTGTAAAAGTTTCGCTTGTCTCCTCGCGAGATCGATTTGCTGGGTTGGATATGGTTCCGCGTTTAAAAGGGATCCGCTCATCACGATAGCTCTATGGAATAGATTCTTCGACATAGGCGAAACCATGTGCAGCCACACGTTCAGACCGCCAACGCTGCAACCGCTAATAGTGACGGAGTTCGGATCCCCTCCGAACGCGGCGATGTTCCTTCGAACCCAACGAAGTGCCAACACCTGATCTTTCAAGCCTAGATTACCCGGCGCGTGCGAATCCCCTGTGCTTATGAAACCTGAAATCGAAATTTCGAAACGAGTTTAATTTTCCGATTTATATTATTTAGATGCATCGATTAATCATACCTAATGTGCCGAGACGAAAATTGACGGTGACCAAAACGATATCATGATCTAACAAATATTGTGGGCCGAAGAAATAACTTTGGCCGGAGTATAGGTAAAATCCGCCCGGATGGAAAAATACTAGTACCGGCCTTGTCACGTTTTCGTCTCTCGATGGAAGCTGCGTAACGTATCGTATATACTTTTAAATACGTGACAAATGGTGACATCTACAAAGTTTCTTTGGAATTATATCTAACTAAAAAAGTTAAATGTAATCTATATAGTATAGTACGGAAAATTATTTAGAATACGTGCTTATATTGATTTGAATATCTCGTTACAATCAATGTTTCAAATACACGTGTACAAAAATTTACATAATTCGAAATTATACCAATCGTAAAGACGATAATGCTGAAAGGTAAAAGCTTATAATTGTGCGTATATACATTGCTTGATTAGTATGCAACAATTTAGATAAGAAAAAAAAAAAATACTTTTCCAGTATACACGTTCAAACGCAAACAATCCTCGGATTTGAGACCCGTTTGATCCAAATTTGGACATCCTGGACCCTCGTTCGAAGCGTCGAAAACATCGTTCCAATCTGCCGCTGGTGTTGCAATCTGTGGGAAAATTACTAGAATTATTCCCACCCGAATGAACGTTCCACCCGATAAATATTCGTTTATAAAAAGAAAACACGGGAAGTTCCCTTTGTTTCCATACAGTTGAAGGTTGACGATAAGTTTGACGAATGTCCATGCACCTGGTATCTTTCCAGAATTAATAGAATTATAATCGAGGGGGAAAAAAATAAGAAAAATTCACCTGAAAACGGCGCCGTTCTGTAGGAGGCTCGGCGTATCTCACACCGCGGAAGGAATAAATCTTTTTTCCAAGCCTTGAAGTCGAAACGGAGCCGCGTATTTTTCCGATTGGCGGTGTCGCTTCCGGATACGCGGATGTACAATATAGAACGTTACCGATCCCAACGATACAAAACGCGATTATACACGATTCCTTCATTTCGTCACGCGACAATTGTTCGATAAAAGTCAATTTTTTTTTTTTTAAATTAATAAGCATAAGTTGTTTGCGTAGCAAATGTTCGACGAACACTGAATTTCCTATCGTAAGAAAGAAATATTTTATCGGTTCGAAAAAAAAAAAAATAATATATTAATCATCTTGTAATATAGAGGAAAATAATAAAGGATAAAGGATAAAGGAAAGGAGATATATGTTGTAAATGTGATATTTTGAAGAGATTTTTTTCTTATACAAAAACAAAGAGTAGTATACAGATGAAATAATGAGAAAATAAATAAAATACATAAGAGATATAGATAAATTCATTAATTTTAAAAAAAAAAAGATTCAAGGATAAAATTTTATTCTATATTTTTTACTTAATATCATATTATTGGAGTAACTATCTGTTCATATCTAATTGGGGAAATAGCCAATCTTATTTGTACTTCAAACTTAATTTACTCGAAAACGAAGAAATTTTACTCTACTTTCGATTTATTTTTTCATGTAAAATTCTATTCTATTCGGTAATTCATCACCAGTACGAATATAAATATAGAATGAAAAAATGAACGATAAAAATGAATGATAAAAATGTAAAATAAAAATCTTCTTTCAAAGCTGAAACAATTGAAAAATAAATAAATATATGCATAATTATCTTAATATATTTGATGCTGCGACGTTCATGATAAACTAAACAATGATGATATTCGAAAATAATAATAAATCCATTTTGTATATATTTCGTAATTAAATCGATACGAGTAAAATCTTTAGATAGATAGCATTACAAAAAAAAAAAAAAAAATATTGCAATAACGTATAATCGGTACGATAATAATTATAATTACAAACCAATTTTCCTTATTTATTGTAAACTTTATTTTTCTATCTATATATATCGTGTTGTTATAAAGTTACGTAACATTCGTATATATGTATATCAGAAAAAGAAGATATGCAAGAATAGTAACGTCAATATTTTTAAGAATTCTATGATAAACATATTTTTTTGTTGTATTTACAATTTGATATCACGCATCATTGCATTGTAAAACAAATATGTGTAAAAAGAAATATATGCAAAAATTTTTGTATACCATTAAATGCTTTTCTTCTTTATCTTCTTTTTATTCCTTTCTTTTTTCTCTCTCTCTCTCCCTTTTTTCTTTCTATCATACATACTTGTAATTTCTTCTTTTCATATCAAATGATTACGTACGAATGATTCGAATGATTCATTTTCTATATCATTTAGATTTCTTATTTTCGTTTCTTATCCCTCTTCCTCCTCCTCCTCCTCCTCCTCCGGCTCCTCCGTCTCTTCCTCCGTCTCCTCTTCCATCGCCTCTTCCTCCGTCTCCTCCTCTTCCTTTATCGGCTCCTCTTTCAACTCGTCCTCTTTATCCTTTTTATCCTTTTTATCCTCCTCGACTTTTTCAGGCTTTTTCACCTTTTTCTTCGGTTTCGCCTTTCTCACCTTCTTCTTCTTCGATATTTTCTCGGCCCTTTTTCTTTCAATCTTTTGCTTCTTCGCCAATTCCGGCTCGATGCAAGGATCGACGCTAGGCGCGTAAGCAATCGGATCGATCGGACGTTTCTTGACAACCGGTTTCTTCTCTTCTTTATCGTCTGGGCATTCGCCCATCTTGTACGGCTTCGTTTTCGGTAACACTTTCCCGTAAACCTGCATAAACAAAAATCGTTAAATGCCTCTAACGAGTTAAAATTTTGCGAACGAGTTTTCATTAAAAAAAAAAAAAAAATCATCTCGTACAGGCATTTCAAATATTGGTCTCCCGTATTTGTCCTTCTCTCGCGGTAGTCTTTTTCCGACAGGACTCAAAGGTTTCTTTGGTCTAGCCAATGATTCCACTCTTCCGGAAGGAGTGGCGGATAGTGCAGCTTTTTTCACGTCGAAAGGTTTAGCTTTGAGGGCCATACATTTACGAATTTTTGGCTTCGACAAAGTATCCGTACGTGGAGATGCTGAAATGGATAAAAATGTGTATATATATATATATAAATATATATATTTATGTTATATAATTTTATAGCGTACATTTGCCTTTCAAAGCCGCTTTCTTGATACGAAATGGGTCATCTTTGCAGGGATGAGGCGTATATCTCCAAGCATTTTTCTCGATTTTTCTTCTCTTCGCCTTCTCTTCCTCGGTTTCCTCCTTTTCCTTTTTCTTCTCCTTTTTCTTTTTCTTTTCCTTCTCCTTCTTCTTTTTCTCCTTCTTATCCTTCCTCTCCTCCTCTTTCTTTTCCTTTCCTTTCCGCTTACCCTTCTCTTCTCTCTTCCTCTTCTTACCTTCTTTCCTCTCCTCCTTCCTCGTCTTCTCCCTCCTTCCCTTTCTTTCCCTCGCCTTCCTCTCCTCCTTCTTCTCCTCCGCTTTCTCCTTCTTCGGCTCCTCCTTCTCCTCCCTCCTCCTCTTTTTCACGTCCGGCGGCGGTTTCTTCGCTTCCTTCTCAACCTCCTCCGGCTTCCTCTTCCTCTCCTTCCTCCTCTCCTCCTGCCTCTTCTTCTTGAACTCGGCCAAAGCCTCCCTACCCCTCTCCTCCCTCTTCTTGATCAACAATCTCTTCCACGTTTTCGCCAACGGATCCTTCCTCCCCTTTATCACCTTGTACGAGGGCAACGCTAGAAAGCTCATCCAAGGTGTGATCTGTTCACGATTTGGGAGGGTTGGGAGGGGGAAAAGAAATCGAAAAAACAAAATTCATCGTTGCATCGTTCGGGCTCGAAGGGGGGACGGGGGGAAAAAGAAGAAAGAATTTCAATCAGGGGAGAAACAAACTTTATAAGTTAGCGCGCTTCTCATTATACCATGAGGTGTGAAAAGCTCTTCTATCTCGTCTTTGGTCAACTGTTGGGGGCAATCGATCAATTTTTTCGCCAAAGCCAACTTCCTCAATCTCTCCTCGTCCGGGGTCCGTTTCTCGTCCAACAACAATTTCGACGGCCTGCACTCGTCGGGAAGGAAGAGCATGCGGGGCTTGCTAAGCTTCAGAATTCTCTCGGTCGGCCGGTATTTCAACGCCGCCGGCGATACTTGATAATAAATCCGGCCAAAATCCAATAATTTTATGTTGGGGAGAGCGAGAAGCATCGTCCTCTTAGACGGGACGGCTTGCAACGCTGCCTTCGAAATCGCAAGATCTAATTTACAGTGAACGCTCATGTCGATCGTTTCCCGGGGTTTGGCCAACGTTTTGATACGTTTCTTTAACTGGGACAACGGTTTCGAAATTCTAACCTGAAAAAAAAGATATGCTTTTTCTAAAATTTAAAACCAACGGTTTTCACGGTTACAATGGAAATGTAATAATAATAAACTGAGTGCTAAACTATTGGCTCCAGTTCCGGCAACTTCTTCGGCTTCGCTTTGATTTTCGCCCAGGCATCGAAACGTGTCCAATCGGCCGGTGTCGCTAGCCATCCTTTCAATTTTAATTTCGTCCTAACTTTTCTAAAAATCATTTATATACGCGAGAATTATATATACATATATATTTATAATAATAATAAAATAATAAAATATATATATATATATTTATATAATAATAAAATATATATATATATTTTATAAATCGTATAACAGGATGTCGATATATCAGTGGAACACTTTTGCTTCGATTCTAGGAGGGAAAAAAAAAAAAAAAATTCAAAAAAGATCGAAGCATATTTAACAATTTTTTACGTTTATTCTCACCCCTAAAGTATGTTTGATTAATACTTTAAAAGATGTATCTCGTGATATATTGAACATCCATATTATATATCCATTGTATTAGTTAAAATGATCTTTGATAAACATTGGTATAGAAGAAATTTCCTTACTTTACTTTAAGTTTTGTTTTATTTACTTTTCTAGCTCTACCGACCGGTCTAGGGGTCGATTCCCTCGGTCTTTTCGGGGGTACTGCTTCTTTTGCAGGTTTCGGAGGTTTCATTCTTGGAGGCATTTTTCAAAGTTTATTTTTCCGATCTATATATATGTATATATATGAACGTAAAGTTGATTAAAATTATTTTGATTGAGGGATTATAAATTAAAAAAGGAGGATAGAGAGACGAACGTTTTCTATAAGCTAATCGAATATCTCTATTGTTATTTGATTGCAGGTTAAATAGTATTTTTTTTTTTTTTTTTTTTTTCGATTTCGATCGGATGAAGATTATGAATATACAGATATGTGAAGATACGTTACGGTAACATTTTTAATCGTATTTTTTTTTTTATAGGTATCCACCGTTACGTTAAATTATCCATTTTCAATGTCACTATTTCATTTTGTTTATTTTTTTATTTATTTATTTATTTATTTATTTATATTCGTGTTGTATGTGAATTAAGTTTACAAGATTTGAAAAAAAAGAAAAAAGGGACAAGCGCTCGTTTGTTTTCCATCGATATAAATATTCATGTCGAATAAAAGCTAGAAATGGAAATGTCAAAGTGTTTATTTGATATTGTTTATATTATATTACATGATCAAATTTACAATTCTGTTTATCTTTTCTTTAAAAGTGGCGATCTAGCGTTGTATTTGTTAATCGTTTGAAAGTAATTTTCAAAATCTTCGTAAGTCCCATTGTGATTCATATTTATGTAATTTTTCGGTTTTGCGAGTTCGTGCAAACGTTTCGAGCATCCTTTATTCCTGGCCGCGGTAATACGGGCATAAGTGTCTAATAAAAATTTCTTCTTCTTCGATTCTTGTGCATCCTTCGATTGTTCGCTGCTATTTATCAATTTGTGATGTCCTTGCTTCACTACGAATAATTCCATAATTGAATGATTGCATAACGAAAGATATTGACGTTCGTTTATCTCCACCCGATATATTGAAATGGTTTCAAATGCTTGGCGATGCCAGCTCTCCAAAAATTACACTCACTTTTTTTTTTTTTTTTTTTCTTTAACAAATCTTTCTCACGCGATAATTCTCCAATTCTTATATATATATATATAAAAAAAAAAAATTATAGATAAAAAGCGAAGGTGATACTTGGAGAGCTCTCCCCAAGTTACATTACCTGTAGTTGGAGAAGTTTTCGCGCTGAAATTGGACGTATTGGACACATTTGGTTTCCGTTTAGGTTGAGCTAATTTGTTTAACGAGTCTGTAATTTGATACGACAAAGCACCACGTTTCACCTGAAATATTGATCGGATTAAAATACTCGCGCCCTATCCAAAATATGATTCGATATAACTTACATTGAAGGCGTTGTAATTATTGACTTTATCTATTCTTTTTTTCGGCTTTGCTAATTTTTCATATCTTGGTATATTATCTTGACAGGCATCCGTGTTCATATCGTTCATTTGATCGTTAAATTATTATTTAATTCAAGATTTGCAATGCTTGAAATGACAATAGAAAATTTAAAGTAAATTGTGATAAGACAGAAAATTTTGAAAACTTTATTTTAAATATGATATGTGACAGTGAAGTGATCGTAAAATAAGATAATTGCAAACTTCAATTCTTTTCGGCAATAGATCAGTAACTGTGAACAAAATCTATTTTATTGTGAAATTAATCTTTTAAATTATTGTTGTAAGATGTTCAAAACGGAGTAAATATATTTCTCATTTTTTGCATTTTCCTATTTTTCTCGTTTTCACTAATAAAATTTTTCGTATAACAGAGATAAAATAATGGAGAAATCTGTCATCAAAAAGCCTCGTAATAAACGAAAAACTTATTGGTGTGCTCCTAGGAAAGTAAAAAGTACAAATATCTTAGAGAATATAGACAATTCCTTACAAGATAAAAAGATGAAAAAAGTAAAATGAAACGCTTTATTTTTATCACTCGTATTATTTTAATCGATAAATCTTTCTTAATTTCCTTCAAAGGATCGAGAAACACTTGAAAATTAATAAATACATAAGATACCATTTATTTATTTTCAGAGACATCATAAAAAAAAACGGAAGTCTGGAAGAAATATGAGACGTATCGATATCTTAGCACAACCTAAATCTATGAAACATGAACTACAACATAAGAGACATCTCTCTAATGTAAGCTTTATTATTTTTCGTTTTTATTGCTTTTAATTTTAAAAACTATTCTACAATTTATTAATTTAATTGTTTGGCAACATTAAGGCAAACTGTTCTGTCAGGAAATATAATGCTGTAACAAAATCTATTTCATCAAATCAGAAAATTATCACTTATCCACATAAAACTTTAAAAACGAAGAAATTTAAAGGAGCACATCAATCAGGAAATTCTATGATGAATATAACATTAAAAGATTCACCAATTATATTACCGAAGAAAATAGGTGTCCGATTATTTTCTTTAGGTCCTTATTCTTAACTTTTATATATTGCTTTTATTAACTACAAAGTTTCAGATTAATTATAATATTTATTTATAATAGTAAAAAAGAGACTTAGAGAATTGACAAATTGCAAAAATATGTAGAAAAAAGAAAAAACATATGGAAAATAAAAGGTTAAAAATTACACATTTATATATAAGGAATTACGAAATGTGGAATTCATACAATTTTGGATAAAATGAAAAGTATAGTAAGTAAGATAAGTAAGACATCATAAATCTATCTTTTATTCAATAAGTATAAAAATATTAATGGACGGCATAATAATGGTAACATTAATGAACGACAATTATTACATGCAGTAAAATCTTATCTTATAAAATGTCGAAAAAGGACGGAATATTATCTTAGTCTTAAATTCGCAAAATGATAATATAAATATTATGGAAAACTATTTACTACATTATCATATTTACTTAGTTAACGATGTATCTGTATATAAAGTACAAAAAATATAATTAATTTGTGAACATATTCCATACAAAGATTAAGGCACTAGTAAATATAGCTAAATCTTCTAAAATTTTTTCTTTTCTATCAAATGCACGTATTTATATTATATTATTCAACAAAGAGTCATTTGTTCAAAAAAAAATTGTTGAATCTTTTATCTACTAAACATATAAGTAAGTATAATCATTATTATCGTAGATAATATTGAATTTCTTATAGCTGATGCACCAGCTCTACAATCTACGATTCTTCTAGCTCTCATAAAATCTGGACCTAAATACGCACTAAATTCTCTTTTTTCTGGTGGTATTATCACCAATTGCTGCGTAGCATCTTGGAAAATTAAATCACTATAAGGTGGCGGACTGTAAAACATACTAAAACTAAATTCGTCCTGTTCTTTTCTACCATAAAATTGTTGAGCATAAATAAATAAATTTATATAAGCGTTTATTTGTGTTTCATTATAACCATAATATCCACCACGAGTAACTATTGCATTCGCTGCGACTTTCCCTAAATTGCAATGTACATAATCGGCTGTCGGTCGACGAGTGCCATCTGGGCAAAGTAGTTCAAAATCTTTTGTAAAAGTATTACGTGCCCACATTTCTCGTCGTTTTCCATCAGTATTTTCCGCAACTGTCGTATGTTTTACAAACGCTACGTCTCCACCGCCTTCAACTAAACATCTAAAGGCACCGGTATATCCAAAATAATCTTCAGATGCATCTCTGCGACAGTAGCGGAAACTTGCACCATGGCACAAGTCACACATATTATCATATGGTACTCCTGCAACATATAATTTCGATCAATTTGTGTGACGAATCAAAACTAGTTTAAAAATTATAATTACCTGTATTGTATTCAGTACTAAGCGCACCCGGAACACAAGATTTACTAAAATATTCTGCAGCAGCACGAACTGAATCACATCCATAGCCTCTGATCCAACTATTAGAAATAAGATATGCTAATGGATATACCCAACCTGCTGCTGTATTTATTCCTGTATGACAAGTATACTTATTTTTAAGATAAGTTAAATCCGTATTGTCATCCTCTTCTTTTGCCACTGCAACTACATAATATTCTGGGGTAGGTAAATTGTAAACTTCAGATATAAACGGAATTAAATCAAAGCGTAAACCGGCAGTGTATACGTCACTAGTATCTAATACTGCTACATCGGCAATTCTAGAAAAGAAAAATAATTTTGATAAAATAAATTTCTTTTTTATAAAATAATCGATGAATGTTGAATATTTTTGATAAATTTTTTTTCAATATTCGAAATATATATATATATATATACATACATACCCACTTTGAATAGCCTGCATACAATGAATTTGACTATGACCTTTATGACAATTTAATTCTGGCTTCAATAATTGTGCTTTTAATGCTATCTAATAAAAAAATTAAATATTAATAATTATATTATATATGTAATTTATAATATATAATATATAGATAAGAAATAAACAAGTAAAAAAAATAATATATAAAAGTGTTAATTAAGATTTATTAAGTTTTTAAGAATTATTAATTTATTAAATTAGCAATTGAAAATTGCGTTAAATAAAATGAGACGATGAAAAAATGCGATGATACGACAGAAATAAAATAAATAAAATAAAGTGCTTCATTTTATTTCCATTTTATTTCATCTAACAAAAATTTAAATTGTTTATAAGTTAATAAATAAACTTTTAATTGATATTTTTATATATCAATTTCTATATTTATTTTAGTCTATAGAATCAATTAAAAATATTCCACAAATATATTATTTATTAAATATATATAAATATTACATATTAAATTACCTTCATTTTTATACATTTCTCCATTTCTGGATCAGATGTAATACATAATGTCATTTTGTTAACAGAACAACGGCGCATTTCTAATATTGGATCTAAAGATTTGCCTAAGTAACCAGTATACATTTGATCTTTTTCAGGTAATGAAACAAAATCCCGTGCTACGTCCTAAAATTATACAATTTATATAAAATTAAAAAAATTAAAAGAAATTTTTTAAATTAAAAAAAATAATAATAACATTTAAAAAATATTATATTTACAGAAAACATTAAATTATGATGCATCCCAAATGTAGGTGCTGATTCAAATAAATTGAAAGTTTCTATTGGCTGTATGTTCGTTGGTTCTGTTTTATCCCATGCATTATTTTCATTGTAACTTTTTTCATATCCGTTATGATTTCCAAAATTCTCTGTAGTATATTCATTTGCATTAACATATTCGCTTCTGTTAAAATTTTTTTCTCCAAATCTATTATTAAAATTAGATTGGTTTTCGAAATGATTATTATAAAAATCAATCGTATTTGTATTATTTTTCCCCAATACTTTGACTGCTTCTTCTAAAAACCGTTGATATAATCGACGAGTTTGAACTTTTGTAGCAGATGATGTAACTATAGCACGCGATGGAACAATACCCCAATTACAATATTCATATTCATTAATTGATTTACGGGTACCATCTCGACAAAGCAATTCAAATTGCTCTTTCTTTACAAAATCTTAAAAAAATTAATATTATTTTCTAATATTCTAATTTATTTTAATATTGATAGAATAAATTATTTTAATTAAAAACATACTAAAATCAAATGATGTTGATGTCATTTCATCTACAGTTGTATGTTGTAAAAAAGCGATTTCTCCTACTTCTACCAAACATCTAAATGCTCCTTCATATCCTGCATAAGGATCCAACATTGTACATCTTCCTCCAGGTATTTTTCCAATACATAATTTACATAATTGATCCGAATTATCACCTAAAATTTAGAACTGCTATAATAAAACATATATAGAAGTTTTATAAAATAATATTATTAATAATACTATATTATTAGTAATAATCTTAATTAAAAGACACTTTGCCAATTTTGATAAATTTAAAATATATTATCAAAATTTTGAATAATTTTTTATTTAATAAAAATTTTAGTGAATACTAAATATATAGAGAATATGTAGTAATAAATTATATATGGAGTAATTCTTCTTCTGATAAAATATTATATACTTTAAAAAAAATATGTTTTCATTTTCTTAAATATAACTTTATAATAATATTAATAAGATTGAAATAAAAATTTTAAATTATAAAATATTCAGAAATATTTAATTATAACAAATTCTCATATTGTAAAATCATATTAAAAACATGAAAAAATATTGAAATTTTAAGGATTGATTTTATTTTCTTAAAGATTTTGTTGAAAAAAAATTTCTTTTACATATATATATTTTATTATATTTCATATTATGCATTTATATGCAAATTTTATTTTTAGACATTAAAAATTTCAGCCTCATCTTTGTATATTATTATTAAACAGTAAAATATTCTATAATATAATAAAATAAGAAGCAGTTACATATTTGGATGCACATATATAGACATATATAGAATTCAATGTAATAATATTATGAATATCTTGGAAACTAAGACCAAATGCAATTATTTATAAAAAGTTGTTTAAAATATTAATTTTGAGAATATAATTCAAACTCAAAAATCTATCTTTTCTTATATCTAAATAATTATTATATTATTTTTTATCATACCTAATGGATTATATTTATCTATTAATGAATTTACAGCACAACTGGGTCCAAAATATTTAATTGCAGATTTAACATGATTATTACAATCAACAACTTCTAATCCACCTTGTTTCATAAGCTATGTAAAACAAAAAATAACATATTTATTTAATCAAATATATAAAAATATATAAAAATATAATATATAAAAATATTTTTAAAAAAAGTATATTATATTTACAGTATAAATTGGAATAACCCAACCAGCAAGCATTCCAAGACCAGCAAAACAAGCCTTTTTACCCCTTAAATCATGTAAGCTCTGAACATCTGATAAAGATCCTTTTTTAATAACTGCTACTGCATAATGATAATTCAGACCATTTTCATATATTTCTTGCATAAATGGGATTAAACTGTGATAGCGTCCTGCTATAAAAGTTTCACCAGGATCTAAAGTTGTTATTTGTGCTTTTTCTTGATCCAACATAGTCATACATTCTTCTTTATTTGATGCTTGTTTGCATTGCACAGAAATATTTCTATAGTTATAATGAAAATATACTTTTTCACGATCAACTGCCTTTGAAAATGCATTGCACTTATCTTGTTCAGCTTGGGATATTGTACACCATGTAATAGTATTGTTAAGATTCTGTCCTATAAATAGATTTAAACTAGATTAAATTATTACTCAATTACAATCAATTTTCTTTTTCTTCTTTTTTATATTAGTTATTAGAATATAATTTTAAAACACTCTCGAGTATAAGGTTAAATGAAGAAAATAATGGTTAGTTTAATATGATTAAAGTATTTAAAAACAAAAATAATTTTTATACCATATATAAATCGACAAAATATACTGAAAAATACTAAAGCTAGATTTATACAATTTTTGCATAGCATTTTAATATTTTTTTCATCTAAAAATTAATTGTTACAAAAGACCACTCCCATTAGTCATCAACACCACTCTGACACTTTAAAAACATACTATAGTATTATACTATGCTATATATATATTATTCATTG